TTAATTCAAGCTGCATCTGCAATTCTTTAATAGTACTTTGATACTGCAGAAATTTTGACTGTGCTTTCTTCTTCCACTCTGAGAATTTGTTGGACAAGTGATCTACCTGTTCAAGAGCAGAGGTCTTCTCTTTATTCAGAGTTTCAACTTTCAAAGATAAATCCTGCACCTGACCCAGCAATTCCTGTTGTTGTTCATCATATCGCTTACTTAGTGATGAGATGGCTGCTTCCTTCTCAGTCAGGCTGATACTGTTCTGAAGCTGAGTGTTCAAATCAGTTAGCTGCTTACTAAGACTGCTGATCTCAGATTTCTTTTCTTTAAGTTCTTCTTTCATCAGTGTGACAACGTTGATGTTCTCTGATAACTCTTTCTTCAACTGTGTGATACAAGACTCTTTTTCAGAGGCAGCCTGTTGCTGATTGCCTCCTTCCTTCTGTAAGGCTTCTTTTTCCATGACTAGACCTTCAATATCAGCCTTCATGCTCTTAATTTGATTTTCCTTTTCTTCTAATTGATGGGTAGCCTGCCGAAAAGAACTATTTAGTGTATTCTGCTCTTCTGTTAGCTGTCTAAGCTGTGCTTCTAATTCAGAAGCTTTGCAAGTTTTAATCACTAGTGCTTCCTTAACTTTTGTTGTGTGGTGCTGACAGTGGGAAATCCTAGAGAGAATGGCATTAATTTTACTACTACTCATGTTGATTAGCTCGTTTGTTTTAGCTTGTAACAAGGCTTCAATTTTCTTAGAGTAAATATCCAGCTGAACTACTAATTCCTCGGATAGTTTTTTGAATTCCAAGCTTTTGTCTTCTAGGCTTTTCTCACTTCTTTCATGTGAAGATCTCAAACTCTGGAATTCCTCATCTGTGGTTTTCAACTTGTCAGTCAACTCAGAAACCTTCAGCTTGTCTTTTTCTGCTAGCATTTCCAGTTCAACTATATGCTCCTGCAGAGAAGTATTTTCCTTCAGAGAATGATTCAAGTCAACCTCCAGCTTTTCAAGTTGTGTTTTTAGTTTCATTTCATTTTGTGAGAGAGAATTCATATGAGCAGACTTCTGGTGTAATTGTTCCTGTAATTCCTTTACTACTGTGTCCTGCTTAATGCCTTCTGCTTTCAGCCAGGCTAGTTCCTTGTTCATCTCTTCTTTTTCACACCCTGATTGGAAGATCTTTTGCTTTAGTTCTGCTACCTCTTGCTCTTTTTCCTGTAATTGGATTTCATGTTTTTCCTGGAGTTCTTCAGCTTGCTGATTAAGTTTCTTTTCCCAGACTGATACAACATCACTGAGTTCTCGTCTATGTACCTCAGTGAGACTTTCTATTTGCTCCTTTTGGTTTGTTTCCAGTCTTGATACTGCATCACTGATTCCAGCAGAGTTAGCTTGTGCCATTTCCAAAATTTGGGCATTGAACTGTTTTTCTTTCTGACTAAGCTCTAGAACCGTATTTTCAAGCTCTTTTTTAAGTTTGGCTTCCTGATCCAGTAATTTCTTCTTTAACGTTTCTTGCATCTCTTTTGCTTTCTGCTTAATTTTTTCCATCTTTTTTTCTTGATTTTTAAATTTGGTTTCGTATTCCTCATGTAAAACACTAAAACTGTCCTCCTTGGCTGATAATTTTTGTCTAAGTGTTTCAATTTCTTTGCTCTGTCCTTCTCTCATTTGTAAAATTACATTTTCCTTTTCTATCAAACTCTGTTTTGTCTGTGCCTGTTCTGTGCTAGTATCTTTAAGCTGGGACTCATAACATTGGGTTAAAGACTGTAGTTTTTCCTCCATTTCACTTTTCTGTCTTTCAAGTTGCTGCATTAAATCCTGCAACTGGATTTTTTGAGTGTCTAACTCAGTACAAACATCTTTCTTTTGCATTTCAACTTGAGCTACCTGTTTAGTAAGAAGAATTCTTTCTGTTTCCAAGTCCAACAACTTCTGCTGCAATTGTGCCAAGTGTTCCTCTGATGCTTTGGCCTGCTCATGTGTAGTACTCTGCTGTGACTCAAAGAGAGCCAACTTAGCAGATGCCTGCTGGAGTTCCTCTTCAGACCTTCTAATATCTGCCTCTAAGTTTTCCACATGTACCTGATACTCTTTCAAATGCTTGTCCTTTTCCTTCAGAAGAAGCCCAAGGTGATTAATTTCATCTTTTAGTGCCTCTTCAGTTCTCTGGATGGACAGCTCTTGTTCTTTAATGATACTGTCAACTTGCTGCTGGTGATGGCTTTTCTGTTCATCTAGCTTGGCCTCTAGCTCCTGTTTTACTTTATCTGCTTGATCCTTTAGTACAGAAAGTTCCTCTTCTAGCTTGTCCCGGGCCTTTAGTACTTCTGACAGTTCAGAAGACAATGATTCCAGTTCTGTTTGCTTCACATCAAGCTTTTCTAAAGTCTTTTCATTCATCTCTTCTATGTGGGCCTGGAAGATACTCTCTTTGTCTTTCAACAATGTTTCTTTTTCTTGTTCATGCTTTTCTCTAAGTCTTTCCATTTCAGTCTGATGCTGTTGCTGTAAGACTTGGAGTTTTTCAGTCCAAAGGGTATCCTGCTGATGCTGCAAGCTTTCTAATTCTGTTTTGTGTTTTTCAACCATGATTGTAATTTCTTTATTGTGCTTATTTTTTTCAGCTTCCAAATGAATAGCTAAATCTTCAGATTGATTTTTGCTTTCTTGCAAGCTTTTTTCCAAAGAACTTTCCAATTCAAGAATTCTCTGTTAATAAAAACAGATGTATTTTTTATTAAAGTACAGATTTGTTTATTAGCAATGATATATATGACAACACATGTAATGATATATATGACTACACCTATAATAACTACACCTGTTTAAAGATTAAAACTTAGAAAAATAAGGCATTATATCATGCCAAACACTAGAAAGCACAATCTGTGCTCAATTCCTAAAGGAATCACATAACAAAGAAAAGATTCTATTTTAACACAACTTAAAATTTCAGATTCTTTCTACCTATACTTTAACTATTTCAGTCACCCATGTTTTCAAGAATATTCTGAATGGATAGTCAAAAAGAAATACATCATAAAGTAGATAATAGTAACTATTGATAGTAAGATGGTTATTTTTTTTCTGTGTGTTTTTTAAGGCCTAGAATATATTCTATTACCTTCATAATTTAATTTTGGAAGATAAATAATATATCTGGGTTTTCCACTGTAAAATGATTATTTAGGAGATATCTTTTGCAAAAAGAAGCTACTTACACAAATTTTAGCAAAGATTACTGTTAGCTCATGAAAAAGTCAATCTTGACTCTAAAGCAAAAAGAGCTAAGTAAGGCAGAGGCATGCAACATCAAAGCTGAAAAGATCCTAAGGAATTACCAAAACCAATTTCTCCATATGAAGGTGAACAAATTAAGGTATAATTAATTTACAGGGCAGCCTGGGTGGCGCAGCAGTTTAGTGCCGCCTTCAGCGCAGGGCCTGATCCTAGAGACCCGGGATCGAGTCCCATGTCGGGCTCCCTGTGTGGAGCCTGCTTCTCCCTCTGCCTGTGTTTCTGCCTCTCTCCCTCTCCCTCTCCTCTCTCTCTCTCTCTCTCTCTCTTTCTCTCTCTGTGTCAAATAAATAAATAAATAATCAATCTTTTTAAAAAAAAGAATAGGTATCCCCATCCCCCAACCCCCACTTAAAAAAATTAATTTACAAAGCTAGCAAGTGGAAAAATCTAGACCTCCTGAGTATCCATTCCCCTCCATCATGCCACATTACATAAATGTTGGCAATGGGAAAATAAAGTACAGTTTAGATTATGGGAAAAAAGTGTGATTCTTTCACTGTTTAAACCAAAGCAAAAAGTCTAGATAACATCAGTCATTTTTATTCAAAACAGGTCATACATTTCATATACTGCTGAGGGGAGGTCCTAAAAATGTGTACACTGAGACATGTATATAAATTTGTTCACTATAAGACTATGTTATTAACATGGGAAAATTGGGGAAAACTTTATGTTAAAAGCAGGGCATTGGGGTGCCTACATTGTGATAGAAACAGAGAATGAATCATGTCCATGGCATGAGATGAAGCCAGGGCAAATGCTGCCTACAAAGCGAGGCCATTTCCTACAGATCAAGGGCAAGTAAACAATGGAGTGGGGATGCAAAGCCCAAGTGCAAAGATAGTGAATGGCAATAGAAACACAGCCAGCTAAAGGCAGAGTCAGCAGCATCATGTAGCAAACACTAAAACCACTCACAGAAAAAGCTCTTATTATCTAAAAATGAAGTGCATGTATGTAAATCTAACCCAGTAAAACAAAAGCTTCTTGACAACTTTATATTGATTGGAAAGATAACAATAGTTTCTGTACAAATAATTCCACAACTCTGGAACCTGAATATTATTTAAACTTACAGTTCTGTAAGTCTCTGCTTCTTGCTGAAGGTCCCGAAGTTTATTTTCACTCTCCATGAGGATTGCTTTCTTCTGCAACTCTAACTCTTCCAGGGCCAAAGATTCTTGCTGTTCTTTTTCTTGGGTGATCTTCAAATATTCTGATTGACTTTTTTCCTGTGCCAAAAAAAAAAAAAAAAAAATATACCACCTTAGACCCACATAAATCTTCAGCATTCTCAAAGTACTTCCACAGGAATCAGGTCTTTCATTTGATCTGCACACCAGCTCTATGAGGTAGGCAGTATCATCATTTCTCTCTTCCCAGGCTCTAGTGTGCAGAAACAAAGCACTGTGGCTTTTCCAGTATGATCTAGCCAATATTTGCCACAATTACTACTGATAAGAAAATTTTTGTTCTAGTAACCCCACTACATCTGCTATTTTTCCACTACTTAAAATGTTTTGCAAAACACGCTTAATGTGAAGGCTCCCAAAATTGTCACTGCTACTTCTCTCCACTCCAGAGTTTGATTATTTCAACTCTAAGCCAAGAAACTAGACTTTAAGTTTATAAAATTTATGAGAAATATCTCGTTAGGGAACCCTACATAGAAAGACAAATAATGGAGGGGACTACAGGGACCATGGGGCTTCTGATCATTCTGAAGAAGATGAAGCAGAAAGAGCGGGAGCTGCAACTGCTCATGCTTGGCCTAGACAATGCTGGCAAAACAACCATCCTCAAGAAGTTCAACGGGGAAGACATTGACACCATCTCCCTGACGCTAGGCTTCAACATTAAGACCCTGGAACATCGAGGATTCAAGCTGAACATCTGGGATGTGGGAGGCCAGAAGTCCTTGCGGTCCTACTGGCGGAACTACTTTGAGAGCACCAATGGCCTCATCTGGGTGGTGGACAGCGCCAACCGCCAGCACATGCAGGACTGCCAGCGGGAGCTCCAGAGCTTGTTGGTGGAGGAGCACCTGGCTGGAGCAACCCTCCTCATCTTTGCCAACAAACAAGACCTGCCTGGAGCACTGTCCTCTAATGCCATCTGTGAGGCCCTGGAGCTGGACTCCATCCACAGCCACCGTTGGTGTATCCAGGGCTGTAGTGCCGTCACTGGGGAGAACCTCCTGCCTGGCATTGACTGGCTTCTGGATGACATTTCCAGCTGCATCTTCACGGCCGACTGAACCACTCCAGATGCCCCCCACCCCACCTTGCAGTCCAGCCGCCTACCCCCGCCCTCATCAAGCACCATCCATGGGGGAACAGGAGTCAGCCAGCCTGACAAACACCCCCCACCCCACTCTGTAACCTGCTGCTACTGCTGCTGCTGCTAGTGCTGCCCACTGCTGCTCTGTGGCCAGCTGGCTCCCGTGGCTGGAGGGCTGCTGACCTGGCTGTCACCCTGGCTCCTGACCCAGCCCACCTGCAGCTGCCATGCCAAGAGGAGAGGGCTGGGCCGGGGGGGGGGGGGGGGTTGGAGCTGCCTCTGCTACCAAGGCTGTGGGCCTCATCCTTTACTCAGCTGTGAGAATAAATCCTTTCTTGCCCTCAAAAAAAAAAAAAAAAAAAAAAAAACAAATAATGTGACTATATGGATTAGATAGATCAAGGAAACATCTATAAAGTATATTCATATTTTTTTATCTATAAAAGCCTATGTAACTCTTTACAGATGACCTCGGCTCTTTTACCATCCCCTCAATCCCAGAAAGCTGCTTCTTCAACTGTCCTGATCATGTATCAACATCCATATGAGAAGTATTTACTGCATGAAAAGAGAAGTTCTAGAGAGCACTTTCAACATTTAGTGGCTTTGGACTCCAATTAAGGATACTTATCCATACTTACTGCATTGAGTTCATATTGCCAGCTACAATATTTTCAATTCACTACACACTCTGGTGAAGCATACTGCTTTAAGGAAAGGCACTCTGCCATATGATAAGCAGACTGATTAGAAAATATTAATTTCTTTTTTTTAAAAGATTTTATTTATTTATTCATGAGAGACACACAGAGAGAGAAAGAGAGAGAGAGAGAGAAAAGAAAGAGAGAGAGAGGCAGAGACACAAGCAGAGGGAGAAGCAGGCTCCATGCAGGGAGCCCGATGTGGGACCTGATCCTGGGTCTCCAGCATCAGGCCCTGGGCTGAAGGCAGTGCTAAACCACTAAGCCACCCAGGTTGCCCAAAAATATTAATTTCTAATCAATTTTAAAACATCACCGTAGACATACTATATTGTCTAATGTAAACTACATTTTAAATACATCTTTCTGTGCCCATAAAAATAAAAGAAGACCTTTTAATAGTCTGTTGAACTTTGACCATCAACACAAAGCTAACTTTTTTGAGGAGCTAGGTAAAAAGGGGGGCACAAAGTGGCAAGTGCACATGTGTGGGTGTCTCATGTGTATCTGTATCCTGCTCTCTCTACTCAGAATATATTTGAGTATATCAGTTCTAGAACACAGGTTTAACAAAGCCAATGTTCAAGTCTCACTGTCCCCAAAGGCCAATTACTCCAGCATGAAAACACACAGATCTTTATGACGAGAATTTTTTGGAACAATTCCCTGCTTCACTTATGTCCTGCTTTGTTCCTTAATCTTTATGCCCTTATACCATCCTATTATAGTTTTAAGCATTCTTATAAACTACATTAAATCCTTTCTAGGCTGGAGTGCCTGGCTGGCTCAGTCAATACAGCATGTGACTCCTGATCTTGAGGGTCCCATGAGTTTGAGCCCCATGCTGGGGATAGAGTACACTTGAAAAAAATAAAATAAATTAATAGGGGGACTTGGGTGGCTCAGTAGGTTAAGTGTCCGACTCAATTTCAGCTCAGGTAATGATCTCAGGGTCGTAAGACTAAGCCCTGCATCAGGCACCAAGCTCAGCGTGAAGTCTGCTTGAGATTCTCTCCCTCTCCCTCTGTCCCCACCACACTCGGTGCTTGCTCTCTCTCTTTAAAATAAATAAATAACAAAAAAAATTAAAATTACACATACTATTTCTCATCGTTTTGCACTCAAAGTTTTTCAAAATTATACACACTATCTTACAGATAATAATTTAATATAAAAAACAAACTGCATTTTTAGCACTAATACTTCTGTGGTAACCTGTATGAAAGGTTTTCACAATTTGAAAAAAATAACTTTCTTGTTTTAAACTTTCAAATTATACTATGCCCCAAAATCTCACCTTTGCTTTTCTGGATATTATTTTGGTTCATCCAGTCAGTTGTTTATTTTACTTTATTTTTAAAAATATCTTATGTATTTGAAAATTACTAATGAAATTATTCTACTTAAAATGAAAACTAGTTGGTCATTTTCATTATTTCTTCTTCTTTAAAATGCATTTCAGAAAACACTTTCTGAGCCCTGAACTCTGGTATAGTCCGTCTAGTGAGTTTCTAGACATTCTTCCTGAATTATGCAGTCACTGGTTCATGGCTTTAATTAGCTTATCTTCCCCTTTACTTCTCCATAATCATAGCCTACTGCCAAGGTAAGAGGGATGACATACAAATAAACCAGTTAATGAAAGCCTGTTATTTTCACACAATACCAAGTTAACAAGCTCTGAAAGCCCTCTTTCCTGCCTACATCCTATCCTTTCTGCACACTCAAAGTCCAAGGCTGCTAGTAGTCTGACCTCAAGCTGAAAGGTAGGAGTGAGGAGATAACAACTTTATATAAAGCTGCAAAGTTTACCTATAACAAAAACAAAACAGGTACTTACAAGAGCTATTTTCATTTGCTCCTGAAATTGCCTTTCTTGGGCCTGAAACTTCTTAGTCAATTCCTGCTCTTTGCTGGCCAGCTCCTCTTCATGAAGCTTCTGTAGTTTAGCAATTTGTTCTGAGGATTTCTGAAAAGTCAGCCAAATAAAGTGAAACACTTTAAAATATGTATAATAATAATAAAATATGTAACTCTACAATTAAATAATACTTTATTATGATTTGATCATCACCCAACTGTGTAAGAGGAAAAATCAAAACATATCTCCCACATAAATCAAAAGTCACCAAAGTCTCAATAGTTAAAAGAAAAGCCAATCAAGCACTGCTAATTTATTTTTTTATGTTTTTATTTTTTAGAGAGAGATTAAGTGAGCATGTGCATGAATGGTGTGAGGGAGGGGTGGAGGGACAGGGGGAGAATCTTAAGCAGGCTCCATGCCCAATGCAAAGTTTGAGCTCATGACCCTGAGATCACGACCTGAGCCGAAATCAAAAGTGACACTTAACCAACTGAGCCACCCAGGTAACCGAAGTATTGCTCATTTAAGACAAGGATGGCAGCTGCTGCTGCAGTAGTAAGTCCTAAAAGGTTGGTGCATTTCCACATCTTGCAGGGATATTCCACACCAATCACAACAGGGAAGTATGGGATGGGGAATAAAGATGTTCTCAGGGGTGCCTGGGTGGCTCAGTCAGTTAAGTGGCTGTCTTGGGCTCAGGTTATGATCCTGGCATCTTGGGATAGAGCCCCACATCAGGTTATCTGCTTGGCAGGGAGCCTGCTTCCCCCTCTTCCTCTGCTGGCTACCCCCCCCGCCCCGCCCACTTGTGCTTTTCTGCTCTCTCACTCTGTCAAATAAATAAACAAGACCTTTGAAAAAAAATTTTCTCAAAGAGGGAATTCCACTATGGTCACACTGCCCTGGCTGAAACAATCTAATTACATCTAGCTTTCCATGCACATACTATTAATTAAAAAGTATTGGCCTTGTTCTTTCTTGGATAGGAAGACTTAATCTTATAAAAATGTCAAATCTCCCTAAATAAATCTATAAATTTAATACAACTGAATAAACTGCCAATAGAATGGGGGTGGAAGGGTTCACTGAACAAAATAAATATGCATGAATAACCAGTACTCTTCGGAAAAATAAGAGTAATAAGGAGAGGCTACCAAATAATAGAACATATTATAAACAGAGTAACTGTAATAGTGTAATACTGGCACATGGTCAGGCGAAGCATTGGAACAGCACGGAGAATTCAAAAAAGAGACCCATATATAGCTCAATAATTTAGTATAAAATAAAGATACTGTGTCATATCAGAAGAGAAAACATGGATTATTAAATAAATAATTTGAAGACTACTTTGTAGTCATCTGGAAAAAAATTAAAGTTGGATCCCTACCTCACTCCTAACACCAAATAAATTCTAGTTGGATGAAAGATTTAATAATAAAAAATGAAAGCATACAAGGGCCATAAGAAACAGAGAATTTTAAAATGATCTCAGTGAGATTGAATTTTCAAATCAGAACAAAAATCCAGATAGCATTTAAGGAAAAGAAAAAAATCTCTCCATGCCCTCTTCCAAAATAAACTGATCCCAAAGCAAAGACAAATAATAAAGTCAACTGAAAATAGACAGAGACACCTGGGTGGCTCAGTTGGTTAAGTGTCAGACTCTTATTTTCAGCTCAAATCATGATTTCACGGTCATGAGATAACCTCGGGCTCTATGCTGGGTGTGGATCCTGCTTAAGATTTCTCTCTCCCCTCCTTCTGCCCCTGCCTACTTGTGCATGAGCTCTCTTTTTCTCAAAAAAAAAAAAAAAAAAAAAAAGAGAGAGAGAGAGATTATTTGGATAAGTGAACTATATATCCAAAGAACTATACCTACTATAAATGTAAAACTTCTACAAATCAATAAGACCAACAGTCCAATAGGAAAATGAGTTAAAGATCTGACCAAGCAACTCAAAGAGAAAAACTGCCAATTCCTTCTAAACATGGAAAAATATGTTTATCATATTGGTAAAAAGATAAGCACATTAAAACTACAATGTTGGGGCACCTGGGTGGCTCAGTCAGTTAAGTGTCTGTCTCTTGATTTCAGCTTAGGTCTTGATCTCAGGGTCATGGAATCAAGCCCCCATCAGGCTCCACGCTCAGCGTGGAGTCTGCTGGTCCCTCTCTCTCTGCTCCTCCCCTGCTTGCTCGCTTGCTCTCAAATAAATACATAAATCTTTAAAAACAAACAAACAAAAAGAACTACAAATATCATTTTTTTAAACTGGTAAGTTTGAAAAGATCTAAAAAAATTAGGTAACATCATCTTTGTGAAGTAACACACTGCTTGTGAGAGTATAAAATGTCCTCCATAGAGCTTATAACAACTATACAATCATTAAAAATAGACATAACTTTGCC